GTCATGTTTTTATGTGTGGTTGGTAGACCCCTAATCTCAGAAAAAGGGGAAGTGTTGTGGGATGGAAAAATTGGAATATTTCCATTTGTTGAAACTGTGGCAGCTAAAAGAAAGAGTAAGAACAGAGATGCAGGTGTTTTAGAGGTGAAACAACTTCATAGTGTTACCAAAGAAGTGACTAAACAGATGTTGGTCACCCAAGTCATCCCTGCAATTCAACAGAAATGGCCACCCATTTTAGGCAAAAACATTGTGCTCCAGCAAGATAATGCCAGACCTCACATATCTGCCACAGATCCAGATTTTATGGAAGCATCAACTACAAATGGATTCAACATAACCTTAAGTAACCAACCCCCCAACTCTCCAGACCTCAACATCCTAGATTTGGGGTTTTTTAGAGCCATTCAATCACTGAAAGATCAGTGTACTCCTAAGAATGTGACAGAGCTACTAGAAGCAGTAAGGGGTGCTTATGAATGCCTAACACCAGAGACTTTAAACAAAGTATGGTTAAGCTACCAAAATGTGATGCAAGAAGTCATGAATGATGAAGGAGGGAACAAATACAAGCTCCCACATATGGCAAAGGACAGGCTGACTAGACAAGGAGCACTACCAGTGTGTTTGGATGTACCCTACACATTGATAGAGAAGGCTGTAAGGGTGCTTGGTCAGGCCAGTGGACAGAGTGAAGAGCCAGTGGTACATGAGTTCATAACTGAAGATGAAGAGAACTTCTCATCTTCAGAGATGAACTAAGTGTTTATCATAACACAGAATCTCTTCATATTTTGGGAATGATTGGGTACATTTATCTTTTGCTTTTTGAATTTTGTAATTGTAGGTTGTAAATACTGAAGAGTAGGAAAGTAAGACCTTGACCTTTTTGTTTTCACATCAAGGCAACCACTCAATATGTACCCCAGTCAGTTTTCTTTGACTACCACTCACTCTATGTACCCTAACAAAAATCTTGAACATGCAATGTAATTTCCACAATCATCATAGCTGTGTATGTACTTCTAATCATGCATAGGCTAAAAAAAATAAAGAAAAACTTCACTTTGTAGTCTCGGTAGGACAGCAAGGCTGGAAATCGCTGGACCTCGCCAACCCCTGTGCCAATGGCATCGGAGTGGCTGCCCATTTCAGCATCAGACAGTTCGTTTCTGTCCTCCTCCTCCTCAATGAACTGGTCTTCATCCAATTCACTTCCAAATCCTTGCATGGGCTCATCCTCCAACTCGCTTTCCTCATACTCACTGTCGGCAATGACCCAG